AGAGTCTGTATGAATTTTATGAGGCACAGAGCAAAAAGAAAAAATAAGATTATTAGTATTGGCCCCAAGAGCGGGAGGAGCCATGAGACTATAGGATTTTGAATCCATGTAGCAGAGAGTTGGAGCCCCCTCTTTTCCTACTAACAACATTCTTCCCTGAGGAACAGGCATGTGCACCCCCTATCAGCTTATAGCAAATCCAGAGTCCGCTGTTTTGGAGAGTGGCCTGTGCCAGGAGGTGAGCTGTCTTTGTAATGATGCTAAAGACACAGAGGTTTTTTCTAAGGAGGTATCTATTCATTCATAAAATCCTGGGCAGAAATAAGGCTGTGTCCCTGCACCCCACCTGCCACACCTGCGGCCGCCATCGATGATACCAGGCTGATTCCAACCATGATTGGAAGAAAGGCCACCCACTTAGTCCAGTGTGGTTAGAGTAGCCACCCTTGCTCAGATCATCCATACAGAGTCAACTGTGGACCCCCAGGACTTGGATACATGGGCTGGAGTGGGAGAATGAATGCACCAGAGAGAGAGAGAGAGAGAGCCATTGCACCAGAAAAAGGTTCCCCTTGTTGTCTGGAGCACAGAAGTCACTGAAATGTTAGAAGTGCAGGAGTGAAAGCAGACAAGGGCGTCAGTTTGCTAGCAGGGGAGCTGTGACTGGAGTCCCATACGGGGACTGGGAATTGGGGAGTCTGGCAAACTGTCCATTATCTTGGTCATAGTGGTATTGAGAGTAATTGGAACAGCCACCATTAGAGGCCTCTGAAGGGAAGCACAGAGGAAACAAGAGGAGTATTAGTCCCGAAAGAGTCATTTAGGAAGGTTATAGCATTTTGGGTATATGATCGCAGGTTGAAGGTGTCTCGTTTTTCTGATGATGTCAGTTGGTTTTACAGGACTGTTCTGAGTGAAGGATATCTTAGGAATTGTGGACGGGAGCATTTTGTATTGGGACATAGGCTCTGTCTATGTCAAGGGTCGCACACGGGTAGGAGCTGTGTCCTGAAGCATGTAATTTAGTTCCACTCCAGCATCCATCTGGTGTCCCAGGGGTCCTTTTTGTAGTAATCCCGGCTTTGATCATCGGTAAAGCAGAGGAAAGGTTGGTACATGGTGCTTACCGAGCCAAGTTTAAGAGTTCTTGAGATTCTGCAGAACAGCCAGCTGGGGGCTGTCCACTGTGCCCAAAGTGGGTGGGCTCGGTAGACCCTGAGACATAGGTCTCCCTAACTTTGAATTTCCATACATAGGACACTGGGTAGGGAGATTTTGACAAGAAATGTGCATCCTAGTAGGACCCAGGTTATGAATACATACTATTTTGTCTTGGGGGCAACCTTTGACCTGTGATAGCTGTTGCCAGGAGGGGTCTCCCAGAAGTTATCCTGCTGTAGGGTTGGTGAGGATGACCGTGTGCGATCTGGTCCACCAAGGCTGCCGTGGCAAGCAGGAGTTGTCTCCTGGATGCAGTGGTGGGAAGGTCGGTTGAGAAGATTGAGATCTGGGGCAGGACGGGGTAAGTTCCTGACTGTGAGTTCCCGGAGCAGTTGCCTGAGTAGGAGAGGTCAATGCTGTCCAGATAAGTGTCCACGAGTTGGTGAGCTGCAAAAGAAGGTGGGCGACCTCCCCCTTGGGGTGACACGCGAGCACAGGTTGACAATGGGAACATTCTGCCAGACTTCTGCACTCAAGGAGGGGTGGAAGAAGAGCGGACAAGGGAATTGGGTGAGAGGGCGGCCGGATGTGGAGGGTATCGTGGGCTTGTTGAATGACCCAGTCCACCTGCTTGGCAGGTAAGGCCAGTTTGTTATTGACCATAATCCAGCCCTGGGCTACTTCAGTTTCCTCCTTTTGGTGGAATTGGTGTTCATAGTCTCCTAAGCCGGAGTGATGGTGGGGACTGATAGAAAGAGACTAGGGGCAGGGTCTGCAGCAGAGTCAGTCGTGAGAGCCCTTGCCGCTGCATCAGCCTTGTTAGTACCTGTGGGAC